GACCAACGGAGGACAAAAAAAGAAGCAGCCTAAAAAAACTGTTTGCAGGAGATGAACAGTGTCTGAATATCATATAGTTAGTAAATGTGAGCAGTAAAGAAAAGATGCAGAAAAGACCTGATACAGGACCTCAGTGATTCATCTGGCCCTTTAGTTCATCTAAATCAATAAATCAGCAGAAAAAGCCAAACAGGCTAATAAAGGTCTGAGTTTTCTGTAACTTATGCCACCACCAACACCTCTTTAACATCCTAAGGCAGTCTTTCTTCAAAGCACTGCTATTACAGTTACTTTAACAGTAACAGATACCTGCTATAGTAAACATTCACCCTTTACTCAGACAAACACAGCATTAAAAGACTGCCCACATATTGACATTTGTCTTTAATCCTGGCATGCATGAATTATGACAACCTCAATCAGGATTTTTTTCATAAGTATTTTTATTCATCTTTAGGCATAAAATAGGTGCACAACTGATGTGTATGGAAAAACACATCAGTGTCCACTGCAGTGGTTTATGTGCAAGTATACTATCAACACTGACAAATACAAGAAAACAGCCTTTGAATAGCTGTCCACTGTAGTGACCGCTATGCATGAAAAGGCTAACCGCTTCACTCACCTGAATACCCAGAAATCAGAGTCAAAATCAGGATGAATATCAGAGAATCCATGAAGGACAGGAGCAAAGATGGTCCACCGTGACATGAAGGACAATAAAGTTAGACTTAATGCTTTAAAGAACTGAGAGAATGACTTTTGTATTTCAAACAAAGGTTTTCAGTTCTGCAGAGCAAGAGGAAGAGAAATTTCTGAGAGCACTTTAAAGATGTAAAATGTCTAAGATGTAAAGTTCCTCCTAGTCTATGTGCACGTTTGACATGTGGAAATCTGAGAGATTAAAGTCGACGTGTCAACTCACAAACACAACTACAGTTAACTGCAGCGTCACATTTAGCATGCAGAACACAGCAGGAACACCACAGTATGCCAAAATATTACACACATGCTTGATGATCCTCAACATGCTGATTTTTATTCATTTCACTACAACTTGAATGAAAACCGTGAATGATTTTACTTAAAAAAACAACAACAAACACTGCAAATGTTTCACTGCTGACCCTGTCCATCAGACCACCATAGTGAT